CGGCACCGCGAGGAGGTAGGGGGTTGTTTTGCCGGACAGAAACACAGACACACACACAGACACACACACATAGACAGACACACTACTATTGCTATAGTATATATAGTAATGGTAGTAATATATACTATATATGTTATAGACAGACACACACTCAGACACACTACTATTGCTATAGTATATATTATATAACATATATTATATAGCAATAGTAGTAATATATACTATATATGTTATACACACACACCCACAGACACACTACTATTTCTCTAGTATATATTATATAACATATATATTATATAGTATATAATATATATGTTATACACACACAGACACACACACAGGCACACTACTATTGCTATAGTATATATATTATATAACATGTATATATAATATATAACATACTATATATACATGTTATACACACACAGACACACAGACACACACACAGACACACACACAGACACACTACTATTGCTATAGTATGTATATTATATAACATGTATATATAATATATAATATACTATATATACATGTTATACACACACAGACACACAGACACACTACTATAGTATATATTATATAACATGTATATATAATATACTATATGTTATACACACACAGACACACACACAGACACACACACTACTATTGCTATAGTATGTATATTATATAACATGTATATATAATATATAATATACTATATATACATGTTATACACACACAGAGGGTGGTGGCGATGATTCAAGTCGAATCGGCGTAACGAATAAAGACCAAAAGTTTACTTTACTTACCCTGACGGTGTCGTTCATCACTCTCCGTGACGTCATCGCTCTCTGTGACGTCATCACTCTCCGTGACGTCATCACGCACCGGGACATCCCGCTACGTCTCCGAACGCGTTGCGGTGCAAACATCGCCACTGGGGAAGGAAAGACAAAGGCGGCCGGGCGGGAGTTGTTGTTGGTGTTGTTGGTGGTGGTGCTGGTGGCCTCCATCAAAACCCACTCTGTACCCTCATGTTCGTTGGGTAAAGTCACGTGGGTGAGGAAATAAGAACAATAAAAATACAAAAAAATCACGACTCTTTGGAAGCGACACAAGCTCCCGTCATCAGGTGCGACAATCAGAGTAAGAAACAATGAACAGACACGGGAGGGGGAGGAGCTTTGAGGGGGAGGAGCTTGAGAGGGAGGAGCTTGAGGGGGAGGAGCTGGGGGGAGGAGCTTGAGGGGAGGAACGGTCAGTGGCCAGCGTCAACAACGGCGGCACCACGTGGTGCATGACGCACTGTGAGTGGACTAATCTCCATCTGTTCCATCTCACTCCCCCCTCTCTATCACAGAGTGGACTAATCTCCATCTGTTCCATCTCACTCCCCCCTCTCTATCTAACACAGTGAGTGGACTAATCTCCATCTGTTCCATCTCACTCCACCCTCTATATCACTGTGAGTGGACTAATCTCCATTTGTTCCATCTCATTCCCCCCTCTCTAACACAGTGAGTGGACTAATCTCCATCTGTTCCATCTCACTCCCCCCTCTATATCACAGTGAGTGGAATAATCTCCATCTGTTCCATCTCACTCCACCTTCTCTATCACAGCGAGTGGACTAATCTCCATCTGTTCCATCTCACTCCCCCCTCTCTATCACAGTGAGTGGACTAATCTCCATCTGTTCCATCTCTCTCCCCCCTCTCTATCACAGTGAGTGGACTAATCTCCATCTGTTCCATCTCACAGCCCCCTCTCTATCACAGTGAGTGGACTAATCTCCATCTGTTCCATCTCACTCCCCCCTCTCTCTCTAACACAGTGAGTGGACTAATCTCCATCTGTTCCATCTCACTCCCCCCTCTCTATCACAGTGAGTGGACTAATCTCCATCTGTTCCATCTTACTCCCCCCTCTCTATCACAGTGAGTGGACTAATCTCCATCTGTTCCATCTCACTCCCCCCTCTCTATCACAGTGAGTGGACTAATCTCCATCTGTTCCATCTCACTCCCCTCTCTCTATCACAGTGAGTGGACTAATCTCCATCTGTTCCATCTCACTCCCCCTTCTCTAACACAGTAAGTGGACTAATCTCCATCTGTTCCATCTCACTCCCCTCTCTCTATCACAGTGAGTGGACTAATCTCCATCTGTTCCATCTCACTCCCCCCTCTCTATCACAGTTAGTGGACTAATCTCCATCTGTTCCATCTCACTCCCCTCTCACTATCACAGTGAGTGGACTAATCTCCATCTGTTCCATCTCCCTCCCCCCTCTCTGTCTATCACAGTGAGTGGACTAATCTCCATCTGTTCCATCTCACTCCCCCTTCTCTATAACAGTGAGTGGACTAATATCCATCTGTTCCATCTCACTCCACCCTATCACAGTGAGTGGACTAATCTCCATCTGTTCCATCTCACTCCCCCTTCTCTATAACAGTGAGTGGACTAATCTCCATCTGTTCCATCTCACTCCCCCTTCTATATCACAGCGAGGTGACTAATCTCCATCTGTTCCATCTCACTCCCCCCTCTCTAACACAGTGAGTGGACTAATCCCCATCTGTTCCATCTCACTCCCCCTTCTCTATCACAGTGAGTGGACTAATCTCCATCTGTTCCATCTCACTCCCCCCACTCTCTATCACAGTGAGTGGACTAATCTCCATCTGTTCCATCTCACTCCCATCTATCACAGTGAGTGGACTAATCTCCATCTGTTCCATCTCACTCCCCCTTCTCTATCACAGTGAGTGGAATAATCTCCATCTGTTCCATCTCACTCCCCCGTTCTCTATCAGAGTGAGTGGACTAATCTCCATCTGTTCCATCTCCCTCCCCCTCTCTAACACAGTGAGTGGACTAATCTCCATCTGTTCCATCTCACTCCCCCCTCTCTATCACAGAGAGTGGACTAATCTCCATCTGTTCCATCTCACTCCCCCCTCTCTATCACAGTGAGTGGACTAATCTCCATCTGTTCCATCTCACTCCCCCCTCTCTATCACAGTGAGTGGACTAATCTCCATCTGTTCCATCTCACTCCCCCCTCTCTATCACAGTGAGTGGACTAATCTCCATCTGTTCCATCTCACTCCCCATTCTCTAACACAGTGAGTGGACTAATCTCCATCTGTTCCATCTCACTCCCCCCTCTCTATCACAGTGAGTGGACTAATCTCCATCTGTTCCATCTCACTCCCCCCCTCTCTATCACAGTTAGTGGACTAATCTCCATCTGTTCCATCTCACTCCCCCCTCTCTCTCTAACACAGTGAGTGGACTAATCTCCATCTGTTCCATCTCACTCCCCCCTCTCTATCACAGTGAGTGGACTAATCTCCATCTGTTCCATCTTACTCCCCCCTCTCTATCACAGTGAGTGGACTAATCTCCATCTGTTCCATCTCACTCCCCCCTCTCTTATCACAGTGAGTGGACTAATCTCCATCTGTTCCATCTCACTCCCCCCTCTCTATCACAGTGAGTGGACTAATCTCCATCTGTTCCATCTCACTCCCCCCTCTCTATCACAGTGAGTGGACTAATCTCCATCTGTTCCATCTCACTCCCCCCTCTCTTATCACAGTGAGTGGACTAATCTCCATCTGTTCCATCTCACTCCCCCCTCTCTATCACAGTGAGTGGACTAATCTCCATCTGTTCCATCTCACTCCCACCTCTCTATCACAGTGAGTGGACTAATCTCCATCTGTTCCATCTCACTCCCCCCTCTCTCTAACACAGTGAGTGGACTAATCTCCATCTGTTCCATCTCACTCCCCCCTCTCTCTATCACAGTGAGTGGACTAATCTCCATCTGTTCCATCTCACTCCTCCCTCTCTATCACAGTGAGTGGACCAATCTCCATCTGTTCCATCTCACTCCCATCTATCACAGTGAGTGGACTAATCTCCATCTGTTCCATCTCACTCCCCCTTCTCTATCACAGTGAGTGGACTAGTCTCCATCTGTTCCATCTCACTCCCCCCTCTCTCTCTATCACAGTGAGTGGACTAATCTCCATCTGTTCCATCTCACTCCCCATTCTCTAACACAGTGAGTGGACTAATCTCCATCTGTTCTTTTCACTCCCCCCTCTCTCTATCACAGTGAGTGGACTAATCTCCATCTGTTCCATCTCACTCCTCCCTTCTCTATCACAGTGAGTGGACTAACCTCCATTTGTTCCATCTCACTCCCCCCCTCTCTATCACAGTGAGTGGACTAATCTCCATCTGTTCCATCTCACTCCCCCCTCTCTATCACAGTGAGTGGACTAATCTCCATCTGTTCCATCTCACTCCCCCCTCTCTATCACAGTGAGTGGACTAATCTCCATCTGTTCCATCTCGCTCCACCCTCTCTATCACAGCGAGTGGACTAATCTCCATCTGTTCCATCTCACTCCCCCCTCTCTATCACAGCGAGTGGACTAATCTCCATCTGTTCCATCTCACTCCCCCCTCTCTATCACAGTGAGTGGACTAATCTCCATCTGTTCCATCTCACTCCCCTCTCACTATCACAGTGAGTGGACTAATCTCCATCTGTTCCATCTCACTCCACCCCCCTCTCTAACACAGTGAGTGGACTAATCTCCATCTGTTCTATCTCCCTCCCCCTTCTCTATCACAGTGAGTGGACTAATCCCCATCTGTTCCATCTCACTCCCCCTTCTATATCACAGTGAGTGGACTAATCTCCATCTGTTCCATCTCACTCCCCCCTCTCTATCACAGTGAGTGGACTAATCTCCATCTGTTCCATCTCACTCCCCCTTCTATATCACAGCGAGTGGACTAATCTCCATCTGTTCCATCTCACTCCCCCCCTCTCTAACAGTGAGTGGACTAATCTCCATCTGTTCCATCTCACTCCCCCCTCTCTATCACAGTGAGTGGACTAATCTCCATCTGTTCCATCTCACTCCCTCCTTTCTATTACAGTGAGTGGACTAATCTCCATCTGTTCCATCTCACTCCCCTCTCTAACACAGTTAGTGGACTAATCTCCATCTGTTCCATCTCACTTCCCCCTCTCTATCACAGTGAGTGGACTAATCTCCATCTGTTCCATCTCCCTCCCCCCTCTCTCTCTATCACAGTGAGTGGACTAATCTCCATCTGTTCCATCTCACTCCCCCTTCTCTATAACAGTGAGTGGACTAATATCCATCTGTTCCATCTCACTCCACCCTATCACAGTGAGTGGACTAATCTCCATCTGTTCCATCTCACTCCCCCTTCTCTATAACAGTGAGTGGACTAATCTCCATCTGTTCCATCTCACTCCCCCTTCTATATCACAGCGAGGTGACTAATCTCCATCTGTTCCATCTCACTCCCCCCTCTCTAACACAGTGAGTGGACTAATCCCCATCTGTTCCATCTCACTCCCCCTTCTCTATCACAGTGAGTGGACTAATCTCCATCTGTTCCATCTCACTCCCCCCACTCTCTATCACAGTGAGTGGACTAATCTCCATCTGTTCCATCTCACTCCCATCTATCACAGTGAGTGGACTAATCTCCATCTGTTCCATCTCACTCCCCCGTTCTCTATCAGAGTGAATGGACTAATCTCCATCTGTTCCATCTCCCTCCCCCTCTCTAACACAGTGAGTGGACTAATCTCCATCTGTTCCATCTCACTCCCCCCTCTCTATCACAGAGAGTGGACTAATCTCCATCTGTTCCATCTCACTCCCCCCTCTCTATCACAGTGAGTGGACTAATCTCCATCTGTTCCATCTCACTCCCCCCTCTCTATCACAGTGAGTGGACTAATCTCCATCTGTTCCATCTCACTCCCCCCTCTCTATCACAGTGAGTGGACTAATCTCCATCTGTTCCATCTCACCCCCCATTCTCTAACACAGTGAGTGGACTAATCTCCATCTGTTCCATCTCACTCCCCCCTCTCTATCACAGTGAGTGGACTAATCTCCATCTGTTCCATCTCACTCCCCCCCTCTCTATCACAGTTAGTGGACTAATCTCCATCTGTTCCATCTCACTCCCCCCTCTCTCTCTAACACAGTGAGTGGACTAATCTCCATCTGTTCCATCTCACTCCCCCCTCTCTATCACAGTGAGTGGACTAATCTCCATCTGTTCCATCTCACTCCCCCCTCTCTCTCTAACACAGTGAGTGGACTAATCTCCATCTGTTCCATCTCACTCCCCCCTCTCTTATCACAGTGAGTGGACTAATCTCCATCTGTTCCATCTCACTCCCCCCTCTCTATCACAGTGAGTGGACTAATCTCCATCTGTTCCATCTCACTCCCCCCTCTCTAACACAGTGAGTGGACTAATCTCCATCTGTTCCATCTCACTCCCCCCTCTCTATCACAGTGAGTGGACTAATCTCCATCTGTTCCATCTCACTCCCCCCTCTCTTATCACAGTGAGTGGACTAATCTCCATCTGTTCCATCTTACTCCCCCCTCTCTATCACAGTGAGTGGACTAATCTCCATCTGTTCCATCTCACTCCCCCCTCTCTTATCACAGTGAGTGGACTAATCTCCATCTGTTCCATCTTACTCCCCCCTCTCTATCACAGTGAGTGGACTAATCTCCATCTGTTCCATCTCACTCCCCCCTCTCTATCACAGTGAGTGGACTAATCTCCATCTGTTCCATCTCACCCCCCTCTCTCTATCACAGTGAGTGGAATAATCTCCATCTGTTCCATCTCACTCCCCCTTCTCTATCACAGCGAGTGGACTAATCTCCATCTGTTCCATCTCACTCCCCCCTCTCTCTCTATCACAGTGAGTGGACTAATCTCCATCTGTTCCATCTCACTCCCCCCTCTCTATCACAGTGAGTGGACTAATCTCCATCTGTTCCATCTCACTTTCCCCCATCTCTATCACAGTGAGTGGACTAATCTCCATCTGTTCCATCTCACTCCCCCCTCTCTAACACAGTGATTGGACTAATCTCCATCTGTTCCATCTCAGTCCCCTCTCTCTAACACAGTGAGTTGACTAATCTCCATCTGTTCCATCTCACTCCCCCCCTCTCTCCATCACAGTGAGTGGACTAATCTCCATCTGTTCCATCTCACTCCATCCTCTCCATCACAGTGAGTGGACTAATCTCCATCTGTTCCATCTCACTCCCCCCTCTCTATCTAACACAGTGAGTGGACTAATCTCCATCTGTTCCATCTCAATCACCCCCTCTCTAACACAGTGAGTGGACTAATCTCCATCTGTTCCATCTCACTCCCCCCTCTCTCTCTATCACAGTGAGTGGACTAATCTCCATCTGTTCCATCTCACTCCCCCGTCTCTAACACAGTGAGTGGACTAATCTCCATCTGTTCCATCTCACTCCCCCCTCTCTTATCACAGTGAGTGGACTAATCTCCATCTGTTCCATCTCACTCCCCCCTCTCTATCACAGTGAGTGGACTAATCTCCATCTGTTCCATCTCACTCCCCCCTCTCTATCACAGTGAGTGGACTAATCTCCATCTGTTCCATCTCACTCCCCCCTCTCTATCACAGAGAGTGGACTAATCTCCATCTGTTCCATCTCACTCCCCATTCTCTCTATCACAGTGAGTGGACTAATCTCCATCTGTTCCATCTCACTCCCCCCTCTCTATCACAGTGAGTGGACTAATCTCCATCTGTTCCATCTCACTCCACCCTCTCTATCACAGCGAGTGGACTAATCTCCATCTGTTCCATCTCACTCCCCCTTCTCTATCACAGTGAGTGGACTAATCTCCATCTGTTCCATCTCACTCCCCCCTTCTCTAACACAGTGAGTGGACTAATCTCCATCTGTTCCATCTCACTCCCCCCTCTCTAACACAGTTAGTGGACTAATCCCCATCTGTTCCATCTCACTCCGGGTCTCCTGGCTGGTCAGTCCGTTTCACACCACCCACAAGGCACGCGACACCACACAGATGGACACAGCGATTTGACTCATCCCATCAGTAGGGGGCGGCTGAGTGCTCTGTTTATTGGGGTCAGCAAGGCACCACGTGACAACATCACTGGTGGGGGTGATGGTGGTGATGGTGGTGATGGTGGTGAGGGTGGTGAGGGTGGTGGTGGTGAGTGTGGTGATGGTGGTGGTGGTGGTGGTGATGGTGGTGGTGGTGATGGTGGTGGTGGTGGTGATGGTGGTGGTGGTGGTGATGGTGGTGGTGGTGATGGTGGTGGTGGTGATGGTGGTGGTGATGTTGATGATGGTGGTGGGTGGGGTTGATGGAGATGCTACTACTGCTGCTGCTACTGCTGCTGCTACTACTGCTACTACTGCTGCTGTTGCTGGTACTACTACTGCTACTACTACTACTGATACTACTACTACTGTTACAGCTGCTGATGCTACTACTACTGCTGCTGCTACTGCTGCTGATGCTACCACTACTGCTACTACTACTGCTGCTACTACTACTGCTACTACTACTGGCACTACTACTACTGATACTACTACTGCTACTACTACTGGTACTACTACTACTGATACTACTACTGCTGCTACTGCTGCTGATGCTACTACTACTGGTACTACTACTACTGATATTACTACTGCTGCTACTACTGCTGCTACTACTAACACTACTACTGCTGCTAACACTAACACTACTACTAACACTGCTACTGATGCTACTGCTGCTACTACTACTACTACTGGTACAGCTGCTACTACTACTGCTGCTGCTACTACCACTACAGCTGCTGATGCTACTGCTACTGCTACCACTACTACTGCTGCTAACACTACCACTACTGATACTACTACTACTGCTGCTAACACTAACACTACCACTACTACTACTGATACTACTACCACTACTACTGCTACTACTACCACTACTACTGCTACTACTACCACTACTACTGCTACTACTACCACTACTACTGCTGCTACTACTAACACTACTACTGCTGCTAACACTAACACTACTACTAACACTACTACTGATGGTACTGCTGCTGCTACTACTACTACTGGTACAGCTGCTACTACTACTTCTGCTGCTACTACTACTACCACTACAGCTGCTGATGCTACTGCTACTGCTACCACTACTACTGCTGCTAACACTAACACTACGACTACTACTACTACCACTACTACTGCTGCTAACACTAACACTACCACTACCGCTACTACTGCTGCTGATGCTTCAGGAGCTGAGTAATTTCGTGCACCACAGCGGCCGCGTTGGGACGGGGAGACACGAAGCTGGGAGAGAATCCGTGGGCTTGTAGGGCGGACGCGGTGGTGGTGCCGATAGCACCCAGCTGGAGACACACAGAGACACAGGGAGACAGAGACACAGAGACACAGAGACACGGTGAGACACAAGGAGACACACAGAGACACAGAGACACGAAGCTGGGAGAGAATCCGTGGGCTTGTAGGGCGGACGCGGTGGTGGTGCCGATAGCACCCAGCTGGAGACACACAGAGACACAGGGAGACACAGACACAGAGACACAGAGACACGGTGAGACACAAGGAGACACACAGAGACACAGAGACACGAAGCTGGGAGAGAATCCGTGGGCTTGTAGGGCGGACGCGGTGGTGGTGCCGATAGCACCCAGCTGGAGACACACAGAGACACAGGGAGACAGAGACACAGAGACAGAGACACGGTGAGACACAAGGAGACACACAGAGACACAGAGACACGAAGCTGGGAGAGAATCCGTGGGCTTGTAGGGTAGAGGCGGTGGTGGTGCCGATAGCACCCAGCTGGAGACACACAGAGACACGGGGAGACAGACACACAGAGACACGGTGAGACACAGGGAGACACGGGGAGACACAGGGAGAGACACAGAGACACAGGGAGACACAGGGAGACACAGACACACGGTGAGACACTGAGACACAGAGACACAGAGACACGAAGCTGGGAGAGAATCCGTGGGCTTGTAGGGTAGAGGCGGTGGTGGTGCCGATAGCACCCAGCTGGAGACACACAGAGACACAGAGACACGGGGAGACACAGAG